TCGATGCAGACATGTTTCTACCACCTTCCTTCATCCACTGGTGGCCGCAGGTTGAAAGATGCCACAATTAGGTGTTTGCGAGTATTCGGTAAAACCCCGTATGTGTGTGTGTGTGTGTGTGTGTGTGTGTGTGTGTGTGTTTCCGTTAGCACGATAACTTCAAGCAATTTCATCTTCAGCCATAAGAGCCATAAATAAATAAATAACCAAAGTTCCGAGTGGCTTAATTTCTGTACTTTGAAAGACAGCCAAATTGCGCTGTGTAACATTTGTATAATTTGTGTCCTTGTTGTTAGCGACCCTTACTCACACACGCACACACACTGCACGGCCCAATATAGCGATATAGATCTAAGAATCTTGAATTTTGTCTGTTTCAGGCAGCCATCGTCGGATATAGGACCAGGAAGGTGATTTTCGTTGGGATAAAAAATAAGTACTGCACGACATGCGCGCGGGCCGAAGCCAATGGGAATGAACCGATAACACACGCGTGTTACAGGAATTGGGGAAAAGGACGTAGCTCTACGAGTATGGAGGCAGCAATCATCTGCGAGGGATTCCAAAAGAGTGAGGAAATGTACAACATCAGATACGCAAGATTCATAGGAGATGGCGATAGCAGCGTCTACAAAAAGATCCGAGATAGCCGGCCGTATAAAAAGCTTACGGTGGAAAAGGTCGAGTGCAAAAACCACCTCCTGCGAAACATGTGTACGAAATTAAAGACAGTGGCTTGTTCCAAGACAGGAAAATCGTCCGTATTGTTGAGGAAAAAAATTGGAGATAGTTGAGGAAAAAAATTGGAGATAGTTTGATGCGCTGCAGGGTAGCTGTAACAAAGGCAACGGAACACCGTAAATTAGAAGAAGTTTCAATGACAGAAAAAATAGATCACCTTAGAAAAGATATTTTAAATATACCTAGCCATGTATTCGGCGAACATTTGAACTGCAAGGAAAGGGGATATTTCTGTGAATTGGACCCAGTAACCGCTTCAGATGGCAATAATATTGTTCCTAAGCTCATTTCAGTGGGCCTATACCAAGCAGTGCAAGACGTATTCAGAGATTTGAGTCGTCATTCTCGTAGCCTACTGATTGACGTTACCAGCAATTACGTGGAACATTTTAATTCCATAGTTGCAAAGTTTATCGGTGGAAAAAGGATAAACTTTTCCTCCAATGGCTCGTATCAAAATCGCTGTACCGCTGCTGTCGTGCAACATAATACTGGCCAAGTGCACTACAAATTTCACAAAGAAGTATTTAAATCAAGTCCGGGAGCGTTTTCAAAAAGCACAGAACTAAAAAGGAAAAGAAAAACTGAACTCAAGCGAGTCCATAAACGGGTAAGAAAATCATTGTTTTCCCAACGTTTTGAGGAAAATATTGACTACGGACCCTCGTGTCAAAAACCCGACATTGACGATGAAACGTTTGAAAGAGAGTCGGCAGAGTTTCTTCTCGCCCTCCGAAAGACCGAAGAGGAACGACACCAAATTGAGAGGGAGACTCTGCTTCAAGCAGACAGTAGTGAATGGCTGGAACTGAGAAGAAGTCTCCTCACAGCTTCGCACTTTGGTCGCGTGTGCAAAATGCGGGAAACGACGGGCTGTGAATCGCTAGTAAAGCAAATTCTATACAACACTGTAGACTGCGAAGCAATGGCTTATGGAAGAAGAAACGAAGATGTTGCTCGAAAAGAGCTAGAGAGTATTTTAGGTGAAAAGGTTGATAAATGTGGCCTTTTCATAGACAAAGACCACTGCTACCTTGGAGGAAGTCCTGACGGCTTGGTCAAAGAAAATGCGACAGTTGAGATAAAATGCCCGTTGTCTGCTCAAGAAATGACTCCAGATGAAGCCATAAAAAACAAGAAATTTACTTTTTGGACAGTGTCTAAGGATGGCGAAGTTGGAGACATCAATAGGAAGCACAACTTCTTCTATCAAGTACAGGGGCAACTACGAGTTACTGGGCGTGACTTTTGTTATTTCGTATTATAGACGCCAAAAGGAACCAAGATATCAAAAATATTAAAAGAAAACACTTTTTGGGAGGAACACATGTTTCCAAAGTTAAGCAAATTTTACCACAATTGCCTTCTGCCAGAACTAGTTGACCCACGTCACAGCAGATCGATGCCAATCAGAAACCCAGGTTACATCAAAGAAGCCAGGAACAAAGCAAAGAACAAGAAAACTAAAATATCTTCCAAGAAGACGCTCCAAGAATAATATTTTACGTAAAGTTTGTTGAATTGTAGACTGTCAGAAATACTTTTTTTGCATTTGGGGACAAAAATCTAATTGTTTGCATATGATTTGAGTTTTTTTATCGATCAAAATACCTACTAATTCTCAAATAATCTGGTTGCCTATATGAACGTAAAATATTGTTGGTTTTTAAATTTGTTTACTATGATATATGTGTATATACTAAATTCCTAATTTTACATGTTTTATTTTTTGAAATTTTACTACTAAAAAGCATATGATTTGAGTTTGTTTTTATAGATCGAAATATCTACTAATTCACAAATAATCTGGTTGCCTATATGAACGTAATATATTGTTGGTTGTTCGAAATGTTATCACTATGATATATGTATATATACTAAATTCCTAACTATACATGTTATATTTATTGTAATTTTATTTCTGAAAAATCTGATTGCTTGCATATAATTTGAGTTTATTTTTATCATTCAAAATATCTACCAATTCACAAATAATCACGTTGCCTATATGAACGTAATATATTGTTGGTTGTTCAAAATGTCATCACTATGATATATGTATATATACTAAATTCCTAACTATACATGTTATATTTATTGAAATTTTATTGCTGAAAAATCTAATTGTTTGCATATAATTTGAGTTTGTTGTTATCATTCGAAATATCTACCAATTCACAAATAATCACGTTGCCTATATGAACGTAATATATTGTTGGTTGTTCAAAATGTCATCACTATGATATATGTATATATACTAAATTCCTAACTATACATGTTATATTTATTGAAATTTTATTGCTGAAAGATCTAATTGTTTGCATATAATTTGAGTTTGTTGTTATCATTCGAAATATCTACAAATTCACAAAAAATCACGTTGCCTATATGAACGTAATATATTGTTGGTTTTTAAATTTGTTTACTATGATATATGTGTATATCATAAATTCGTAATTTAACATGTTATATTTTTTGAAATTTTACTACTAAAAAATCTAATTGTTTGCATATAATTTGAGTTTGTTTTTATCAATCAAAATATCTACTAATTCTCAAATAATCTCGTTGGCTATATGGACGTAATATATTGTTGGTTGCTCAAAATGTTATCACTATTATATATGTATATATACTAAATTTCTAACTAAACATGTTATATTTATTGAAATTTTATTGCTTACAATTCTAATTGTTTGCATATAATTTAAGTTGGTTTTTATAAATCAAAATATATACTAATTCTTAAATAATCATTGCCTATATGGACGTAATATATTGTTGGTTGTTCAAAAATATTTCACTTTGATATATGTAGACTATATATACTAAATTCCTTATTACATATGTTCTATTTTTTGAAATGTTATTACTAAGTAGTTGTATATGAATTGTTTGCATATGATTTGAGTAATTTATATTGAGTTTGAATTATAATAATTACTTTGGTGGTCACAATGTCTGGGTTGTTTGATTCTTTGGAAGAAAGAAACAAACTGTGACAATTTAATTGAGCTTTTTTGTATGTGTTTACGTTAACTTTGAGAACGAGCAAATTACATTCCCTGGTGTTAAAATGTTATTTGTCTTTTATTGATTTTATAAAGAGCTTCATACCTTGTATAAGTCTGAAATTAGAAATATAATTTATTTTGAAGGTAGACCTAATAATAATGTTGAGTCTGATGTGAAATTTTGATACAAAAATGTAAGTAACTATAAAATACTCGATGCATTCAAAATTGTATATTATGATTTATAAGTTTTATTTTTGTGAGTAAAACCCTTACGCCTTACTTGAGTACTTTACTTTGCCCTCATATTACTTTACTTGTTTACTAAATGTTATTTTTGCAAGCAGTTTGTTCCATTGTTAGATAATTTAACCGTTGCTTCTAAAAGCCTGTTTGTAGTATCACAGCTTATCTCATTAGTTCACGTGCTCCTATTGACTTATATTTTACATGTCTATCAAAATAATTGTTGGTACAGGATCAAATGTAAACTGTATTATATGTTTAAATGAATTAATATTGTTGTGTCATCAAGAGATGAACTTCTGTTAAAACAAAAACAAACTGTGCAATTATTCTACGATAATTGGGCTTACACAAAAACTGACAATACCATAACGCAATAGTAACCAGCTATAGCGCGAATGGTTGGCGAGTTCCTCAGCGCCCACACTACTCTGCCTTGTCGAAACTTTCGCTAGTTTTATTGTGTCAGCCCGAGTGGTCCTGACCCTTGGGGTAAGCAACCCTACGTTTTTTGCCCTTCCTGAACGACCGGTCCGCCATCACGCCAACTGCCTTGCCGACGTTGATACCGTGAGCGACGGCAGCGCCACAGCTGTAAGTGAGTAGCCAGAGAATTAAAAGGCGATTTTGAGTTTATGTCCGGCCCACTCTTAATAAACAGCTGTGTCTAAGGAATATGTCGGCCTTAGATACTAACAAGACTACAAGATCGTGCCATTCATCCTGCACTCATCTCCATTCATACTTACCTACTATCGTATGGTTGCCATTTCATGGTAATGTATAAAATATAAAGTAAAGTAATGTATTTTTTACAGTTTGGTACAATTACTTGACTCAAATTTGTATTTGAGTTGCTCAATTAAACAAACAAACAAATATTTTTACAATTTTGGCAAAATATTTGAGTTGAGTTAGGGCTCGAGTTGCCCAAATACTTTTGAAATACTTAATGCTAGATACTTGTTCAATAGCCCTGATTACAAGTCTGTTGATCAGGTGGACGCAGGATCTGTGTGGCAGTTCAAGGACGTGTTGGATCGTCTGCTAGACATTGTCACACAGAGTATACAGCAGGCGCTGTGTCTAGAGAGAGTTTCTCACTCCACACAGCTGGTCACCAACTGCTGTCATCTACTGGCCAAGGTTGTGGCTGAACTGGCAGCTCAGGCCAGAGGCATTGATGTGAGTACTGTACTTGTATTGGAGTACTTGTATGTAGGTACCCAAGTTTGGCCTTTCAACAGCTGGTATCTTCATAGCAGTTAGGTTTAGGGAATAAAATAATGTTGAATTAAACATTCTGTAAATACTGTGTACTAAGGATGAATGGAATATTTTTAGTTCGGGATAGGACAGGAGTTTCCAGAAATTTTCAATTTTGTGACCTGTCCATCCCTACTGTAAAGAATCCAACACCATCATAACTCACTGATAAGCTAAAACGTGATTATCACTTAAATTAATCTTTTACTTTGCCTCCACTGGGAAATGGCAGCAAAATTATCTTAAGCCAAAATAAATATAATTGTAAAAAGTGTTTGAATTTCTGTTTAAGTTTTCTCTAATATATCATATCATGGTAAACAAATAGTGACAGGTAGATTTAAAACTTGTGTTTTACTTGTGCGTCTCAAATTGGTTATACATTTTGGCAACTTCAATCTTCAATCATACTTAAAGTTTAACTTTAAGTAATATATTTATGTTATTTAAAAATAACATAATGACGCATTCATGTGCAATGTATCTGTACGTTCTGAATAAAGATTTTATTGATTGATAAGTGTTTTTGTTAACCATACAACAGTAGCAATTGTAACATTAATGGTAACAGGAGGACCTGGAAGGGGTTTGTGGTCGAGTTCTTCACGCGACACCCAACAGATTCACACGGACCAACCAGAGCCGAACTTGGAACACAGGGAATGGGTCACCAGACGCCATCTGCTTCAGTGTGGACCGTGGCGGAGTGGTGGTGGCGGGTGTTGGTGTCTACGGTGGCACTGGCACCTACGACTATGAGCTGGAGATACTGGACGATGTAAGTGACTACACTGGTTACAATCTGTTATGATGAAATTCCCTTTCAATGTACAAAAGGTACATTTGTTGTTGTTGATCTTTTTTGTCTTGGGACGCTAGGCTCCAGTCCAGATAGTTTTGCACGTTACTTCAAGCTAGGTCTAGAGTTTGCAGCATCAATAATTAGATAAAATCCATGTGATTTGGAGGGATTTGAAACTGGGAGCTCAGGGACTGATGTCCTCTACCACTAGACCAGCTCGCTCCCTCACAATTTGTTAAAATAGCTAACTAACTATTAAACACTTGGTTGGTACATTTAAAGGTAATATATTGCCTTAATCCAAACGTCATTAACTTTTTACTGCAACTGTTAAATTATGAATAGTACTCATCTTTAAAATAGACTGTGCTTACTGCTTAGACTAGTTATCTAAAAAGAAGATTGGCGCTAAAAGAACCTTATAGGTAGAAAGCACTATCATTTTTCTTAGACACACAAAAAATTATCTGCTATAAACACATACAAATAACATTATACCAAACACCCAAGATTAAACACACAGTTCATAGAAAAATTCAAAAAGGGGAGTAAATCTTTTACCAAGTTAAACAGAGTAGTAAGCTACTCTATCGTAATACCACTATTATTACCAAATTAAGCAACCCCAGTCTGATGTGCTGATAATAGTGTCTTCCACCCTCATATCCATATATTAAGCCCAAAGTACCCATGAACTTTTGAGAAAACTGCAAGTCACACCCCCATTAACCATATACTTAAAATGTTCGTCATGACAAAAAATTTGCGCAAAACTATCCATTATTTCATTAATTACCCTTTAAGGTTGTTTTTGCTTTCCAAAGGGAACTTTCCATTAACCTAATGTTAAAAATACCTCAGCTGTACTTATTTGTATGTTATTCTTTCAATTTATTACCTTATAAAAAACAGGTGTGATTATTTGTTTGTATTACTGTATCCTGTTTTGTTTATTTCAGCTTAACTTAACCATCAATAGTTTTATTCATATTTATGAAGTCAAGCGGGGTGAAGCCCATGGGTAACAGCTAGTCTGTGTAAAGCTTGTCCTTTTTGGCATTAAATCATCTTTTATGATTTTGTACAATTTCTCTTATGGTCTTCCAACTCTTCTTTTCTCACCTCAAGTTTTCCCTTGAGGTAATTTTTCCCCACTCCCCCTTTTTCATCCTTTCCAAGAGACCAATACACCCTTGTCTTTGTTCTAAGATTTGTTATAATATTATTCTGTCTAGTAAGTTACTCCATTTTTAAACTGTTGTCTATGTTTTTAGGTGAGCAACTCTAACAGTGATGCTTCCCATGGTCAACGCTGGAACAGTCTGCAGCTAACGAGGGGATCTTTTGGACCTGACGATTGCGGCACTGACGACATTGTGGAGCTCATGTTCGACTACCCTGTCTACATCAAGGTAATGCAATTCATAACGGGGAAACTAGCTGCTTTAACCCTCCCAGTGTTACTTGACGAAAATTCGACAAGCAGCACACTTTGTGTAGTGTTACTTGTCGATTTTTCGACACGCAGACATCGTTTACGGCGAAGGCTCTATGACTGACTGAATCGGATTGAACTGGATCGAGTTAGGTATCGTTCTTTCCGTAATATTCTAAGCTTTCTCCAGAGGTCTGTCTCTAAGCGCTATTCATTTTAGTTCCGAAAATATTGTAGCAGACAGCTGACGTGCGTGTATTTGTAAACAGCTAGGTTCCCCCGGACCGATGACTGATGTGTTTTATTACGTTTATCATTGTTTTAGTGTTAAAAATCAAAAGTAGTGATATACGTGGTGCATTATAAGAAGATTTAAGTGGTTTTGAAGTGCTGGTTGATGATCCTGAAGAAGTAGGTAGTGATATTGATGTAAATTATCAGCCAGATTCCTAGCTATGGTTAGGCTATGCATTCTTAGCTAAACGCTATGTACTGAAATCAGTTTTTTGCCCATAACTTATTTATTTGCAAATCTACTTCCTTATATTATTATATATTTGTAATCCTCATAAAATTTAGAACAAAGTGGCTATTTTCAAATATTTATAGGCCTATAATTTATACAATTTCATTGAGCGCGAACTTATTTTTTTTTTTTGAAAATTTTTGAAATTATATTTTTTTTACCTAAAAATTTTTTTTTTTGAAAAATGTTCCTTATGTTTTATATATAATATTGAAGCCCATGATTTTCCAAACAAAATGGTATATAGAACATTCGAATTAACATTGTTTTAAGCTTCTCAGATCCGTTTTAATAAAACCTTGCGAATGCGCCAAAAATAGGTGGACATTAAGGCCTAAACTATGGACACTTGGAGGGTTAAACTCAACCTTATAACATAACTATCAAAGAACTGTAAACTTTGTCAATTGTGAAAAGAAATTGGAGGAAGCTGTTTTTCGTGTTTAAAATTCGGTGAGTGATTCAGATAAACAATGTCTCAACATTTTTGACTTAACGATTTTTGATATTAACGAGATTCAAAACCAACGTCAGCTGTGACGAGTTAAGTGAAGTATTTCAATTTAAAATTTTACTTTCAGGAGAATGTGAAGTACGCCATCAGATTGCGTAATCATGGTGGCCGCACTAGCAACGGTGACGGAGGTGTCAGCTCAGTCAAGGGCCCAGATGGAGTGATGTTCACCTACTCTACTTGCTCTTTGAACTTCAACGGAACGACACCTACACGTGGACAGATACCATACATCCTCTACTTCAGGTGTGTAATGTGTTGTAGGGATGGAAGTATTGCAGTTGAGTGCTTTGCCAACTCCAAGAAGCCTACTAAGATAGAAGCTACTAAGAAGTTACTAAGATTCAACGGTTAACGAGGTTCGGTAGGTGAAGTACAAGATAGAGCAGTAGAATCCCTGTTCAACCATTGTCCTTTGAAATTCACACTTTGTTGTAATATGTGTTGTGTAAAGGATCTTGTCTGTCTCTATGCCCTAGTTTTTTAACTTTCTCCAATAGGCTTACTCTTTCCGAAAACTCCACCTCTACTTTAAACTTTTCCTTAAAATACAACTAAAATAATTTGATTGTCGTATATCCTTTTAGCATTGCTTACCTAAGTATTAATACTTATCCATTCTTAATTTTCAAAGAAATAACCAAAGTGTGCCTTACATTGGAGAAAATTCAAATCAGCAATGTTATCTTATGTACAGTAACCCACAAGACTCAGAGGCAGTTGCACGAGGTCGAGGCGTTGTGGAACGTGAGGCTCGACGCGCGACACTCTCTCTCTGCGGGGCTGTGGTGTCACGCAGCGCAGAGTTGCTTAGTCTCGCGCGGGCCAGAGTCACTGAGGAGCCTCCTACTTGTACGGACGTGTTGGGATCTGCCTGTCTGGTCACTACACTGCTGCCTCTCACACTGGCTCATGTCAGTCCATTGGCCACCTCGGACCCCAGGGTATGACGTGTTGCCTGGGTCTGTCGTAGTGATTATAGATAGATAACGAGTAGTTCAAGATAACGGTTCAAACAAGATACAGGACTAAATTTTTTGAAAAGAAACCATCCTATGCAGGTAATAGATTTTTTAAATTTATTCCAAAAAATATTAAAAAAGAAACAGATCCAAACAAATTAAAAAAAATATTGAAAGAGTTTTTAATAAATTTAGCAATTTACTCTTTTGACGATTTTTTTCACCTCCCTCAGTCGCTATGATAGTTGAAATTATCTTACTAGATTTGTAAAATGTATTTGTTGTTTTTATAACCATTACTCATGTTTTGCTGTTTTTTATCCTGTTGAACTATTTTGACACTATTTTTATTGTAATTATTTTGACACTATTTATTGTACAATGTACATAAAAACGAATAAAGATATTTGAATTGAATTGAAAAAGGTGTCCACTGGTACCTGAATCATAGAAAGCAGCACTGATTCTAGTTTAAAGATGTTAAAAGTCACTTAATCGTTCATCACTTCATCAAGACAGAAACGTAATTTCAGTATATATTTTAAGCTGAATCTCAGTTTAGGGTTAGTTTATGGTTAGTGAGCTAATCATTGTAGCTTTGTAAGCCATATCCGTTTATTAAAGACACGTTTAACTATAGTTGTTCAACTTCCTGTGTTTGTCAACAGAGTGGAGTGCAAGTGCTGGGACTGATTCAAGAGTTGTTACCTCATGTGTCTGCCTTGAACCTGCTCAGTTGTGAGATGGGCAAGTCTGTCACCTCCGTGGACACCATCAGCTGTCCTGACACCCAGAACACCACCAGTCACCATTATGTCTGGGTGCAGAGTGATCACCCGTACAAGCCTGCCACTGTCTACAACTACAGGTAAGGACATAAATGAAATGTTTATTTGTCTTGAAAAGTTTACAAAAAATGAGATTTGAAATAAGACCACTACACATTTGACTGTTACTGGGACTAGCACTACAAGTTAGATCTTCTTTGGCTGCTTCAAAAATGAAATGGTGATGTTACAGCCTTGTAATAGACAGTCATCATCAAAGCACTTTAGTGGAACACAGGCCTTTATTGCTAAATACAGGGTACTACCGACTCATCAGTAGCAGTAGCACTTGATACCTTTTACGGTGAGGTGAGGATGACTCTCTGTGATAAGGCCACAACATCAGCACTTATTTCCCATGTGCTAAAGTCTGTCTTCTTTTTATCAATAAGAACATTTTTTTTAATTTTAAATATTTTATACTACTTTAATTGGTTCTGGTGGGTTATCATTTAACAATGTGCCATGATATACCTTTTGTAAGGTGTTCTATGCTCTGGTTGTCTCTTTGAGTGTCTAACTGATCGTAAAACGGGAAAATTTTGCAGAAATTTTAATGGCTCGAAAGGTCTGTAAGTTTTGTATTGTATAGTGTGGGAAATTTGTATTCTTTAATGCCAAGATCGAGCATCCACTCATTATGTTCTTCAACTTTTCATATTATGGTGTCAAATAATAAATCAGAGGAACGCTAGAGATAGGAGATACTCAATTTTAGGTTTTGACCCAAATTGCCATTTCTCAAAATTTGTCTAAACATTTTGTTTACAAAATATTTTTCTTTTTATAAAATACTAGATTTATAAAATGTAAAACATATTGTAATATTTATTTTAAAACAAACCTGATCTGATCCTTGGAGAGAGAATTTTGCTAAAAATGTATTTTAATCATAATTTTTTTATTCAGTTTCTTTTGTATTTTATAAATTTTCTTCCAAAATTCTCAAAATTGTAGGTAGTAAAATAAAAATTGATGGTTTTTGGAACTGTTACAGAGTTGTTTTCCCCGAGAGTGTCAAATGGGTTTGTGTGGAGTTTGCCCCGGAGTGTTGTACAGCTCAGGCGGAGGACTCTCTACAGCTGTATATCCCCGCTTGTCCTGCTCCAACACCCCCGCCTGAGGACTCCCCCCGCTACTACCCTGTATTGCACCGCCTCAGCAACGTACCTGCCCAGTGGCCTCAGTCTGCTGTGGTGTTACCTGGTGTGTTTGTTAAATATCCTATTATTTTCTATTTCTGTTTTTGTAAACATATGTTTATTCAAACAAGTTCACAAACCAGCATGGTGGGAATGGGGTTCTGTAGGGCTAAGATAGGACTCTCATAAATATAATTTTTCAATTTTTCTCCAAATTAGTTTGTAGAGCTAAAACTAAAATAAATGATTTAGTATGTTGAACTGTTGTAGTAGTGTAAGTTACAGAGAATTGGTGTCAGTTGGTGAGTCGGTGGCTCAGTTCGTATCGTCAAGGACTTCATGCCCAAGGCAATGATGTCGTGGGTTCGGATCCTGGTCACTGCCACAAACATTTTATCAGTACAGTTCACCTTCGTACTGTACCGGCTCACCCCTTGCTTTGCTGGATACATTCCACCATAGACAAATAGAATAAATATAGACTGTCAAAGGAAGGTTCCGGCGCCCAACGCTAGGAGTACCGTGTAGTTACGGCACACACCGCTGTAGGCGAGGAGCACAGGAGCCGTATGTGACTAGCAGACACTGCAGCGGTGTGCGCCGTAACTACACGGCAAACCTAGCGGTGGACGTCAGAACTTATCACTTCAGCGCAGCTGACGGTCTATATTTATTCTATTTGTCTATGGTTCCACGCACAGATCTGTAGCCTATGTGGACAAGCAAATGCAAGGTTAATAGAGGCCGCCAACCACTAACAAAAAATTATCCTGGACTTTTAAGTCAGGACAGTCAATCTGGAGCAGTCTAAAGTCTGAGGCAGTCTATAGAAGACAGTGATTGACAATTGCTTGTGGAGTGTACAAGTTGACGAGTGCATTGTAGTCTGGTTCACTGGTAGCACCTGGAAAAGTGCGCTCTTATAATTGAAATGTATCCTTTTTAAATCACAGTAACAGCGGTGCTCCTAGATTCTGGTGTTGGGACTAGTAGAACATTGTTATTATTAGCTCTGTGAGACATCTGTGTTAGGTCTTTACTCTGTGCTGAAACCCACAGCAACTTGTTACCTTCCTTCAAACCTCCTTAAATTGTTACAAAACTATAACTCATTAGCTATATAAAATTTCAGGCAATGAGGTGATATTTTCCCTTGAAACCGCATCTGACTATGTGAAGGACGAGAAAGCTTCGTTCTATGGTTTCAAGTGCTTGGTGATTGGCTACGAGTGGTCGCAAGGGTCCACTGAGGGACTGAGACACCTAGAGACAGAGTTGGCCTTCCTCGGTGGCATGTGTGCTGCGTCTCTCATGAAACGTGACCTCGTCCTGCCTGTGTCCTCAGGTTAGTTTGATCAAATATGTCTTGAAACACTACTCACTACATGTACGGCCCTCTAACTATTTATAGGACATTAAATATCATACATAAATATCAGGGCATTATATTATTTACATATTTATTTCATCTTAGGGTACAAACACACACTGGACCGTGACGCGCCACGCCGCGCCTTGACGCTCTCTACATTACAAAGTACGTAGGTATTTGATAATAACGTGTCATGCACGCTGCACCATACCATGCTGCGTCCTATATATTTGTACCATTAGTCTTACCATTGACTTTTGGACAGTGAAGATGACAGACACCCCATATATAATGACCAGATGTAGCCAATTTATTGTAGTTGAGAGCCACTCACTGAAAGTCAACATTCTACTTTCTAACATACTTTTTACTGATGTTGATAAGGTGACATAAAGATAGTTTTTTTTTTTTTTTTTTTTTTTAACAATAAATTGACTTTTTTGTTTATCCTGGTTAATAATATGCTGTATATGATAGAAAACAGTAATTTACACGCTCTATCAATAGTTGTTTTTTACTCTATAACTGAATACGACCTTAAAATGGGAATGAACTACAGTAGACTTCCTCTTATCTGGACACCTTTTAACCGGGCATCGGTTTAACCTGACTACACTCGGCGGAAATAACATCTCTTTAACTGGACAATTTCATCAGCACATTGGTTTAACCGGACCAGATCAGGAGGAAGTGGGCAGTACTGAAATGACCATTCTCGTGGGAATGATTTGAGACCAGTGATCACGTGTCTAAATACAATGCTCTCCTAAATTTAAGTCAAATATTTGGGTTACATACTGAGTTTATCGGGACATCGGTTTAACCAGAAAACCCGCTATCTGGATTGGCCTCGGTCCTGAGGAGTTTGGATAAGAGGGAGTCTACGCTAGTTATATCCATATTCAAAGATGAAACTGACTAGAAATGAATATTTGGGTTATGCTAATGTTTGTTTGGTTTGAAATTTATTTTTCTATGCCATTAAGAATACAATTTTAACAAAACTGACAACTGTAATAATTCTGCTATTGCAGTGGAGGAGTTAGAAGAAGACATAGAAGCTGTGGAAGACATCGCTCAACTGATCTACACCAAACACTCGAGTCTGCTGGGCAAAGGATTTGCGCTCTCCAGTGCTCCTACCATCAACCAGGCGCTCGAAGGAGTTCTCCCATTCAGGTATGTGTTTCGTTCATCTAAGATACTTCTTGGTAGTTTTTGAATTTTGACTTGTATTCATTGTTTTTAAATATGTCTGGAGATTCAGAGGTTTTTTCCTACTGTTTCTAGTTTAGTATTGTTGGCTTAAGCTTGTCTTGTAGAAGTTTGGTTGATGGAGGATTTTGGTTAACATAACCGTTCAGAAAAATGTTCTAATAAAAGCCAAACCTACTCAATTCTAGGATTAAAAATACTGAACTTCTTAATACGTTTTTAGAAGTCCCAACAGACGAATTTAACAATTTTTACTAGATGTCCCTTCTGAAGTACTATTGTAGGCTTGAAAAAGTAATGGGAAATAATACTCATTGACATAATTAAATATTTATTTTATAACAATCATTTTTACATTCACATCAACAAGATAGGCTACGGTTTACTTGTATAGAAAAACTATCAATAATAATATGTTTCTCAGCATTAATAAAACATTCTTTAGTAGTTCTCATAATCTGGAAAACATTTTAACACCCACCTCTATAACATTTCTTATTTCTCGATTCAAGTATTTTGAAGAGATTAATTCCAATTGGGCGCTCAGTTGTTATTGCACTGAATGTAATAAGAGTTGAAATTGAAATATGGGGCTGTGATCATACAACCGTGCAAACAAACGGTTGATCTATTGGTTGTTTGCTGCAATCACGGTTTTATTAATAGGGACATTGTTTGGCTAGTTATTGGTTGGCTGTTTTATGTCAGGGTTTAAAAAGTTACGGTTATTAAAATGTTAGGTAATGTTCTGAGGCTGTACATTGTGAGTTATTTAACTTCATCTTTGTGTAGCAAAATATCAGTTTTATTTATTTCTGTATATTTTACTATCAGTTTTTGGATAAAAAACTATGTAACTGATGAACTGATGTGGTGATTGATCTTTTATTCACATTTTTCAATTGATTAACAATTTGTTGTCTGTTAGAATTTTAGGTAAGCACTTTTTTGGTTAGCGAAACTTTCAATTTTATATTCCTGGCTTTTGAAAGGTTCTTAAAAGTTCTACCCTTGGTTGAATTGACATCCTACAGGTACTAGTAGATCTTTAAAATGTCTAATTGTCATTGAGATGTGATATCTTAAGAAAGTTTAGTGTTCTTTCCCTAATTGTGTTTTTATATTCCAAAATACCAACTTTTCAGTCTTTGGCTGAAATATGCCAAATCGTAGGCTTCTACAATACATCTATCATGTCAAATAGAATGGAAACACTGGTTGTCACATGTTGTTATTTATTTTTTAAATATTTATATTATTACTCTTTGGTTTTTGTAGTTTCACGACAACACTGATAGGTTTTTGAATCATAAATAAGTCTGTGTTCTGTTCCTTTTTTTCCTACACTTTTAGCCAAATAAAAAATATTTATTGTATATTAATAACTTTAGAAGTACAAAAGTTTGTCACATTGAGAGCTTACTGTGTATAAAAGAACGACCTCCACAAAAATCCTGATGATATACATTGTATGACATATATCACACACTATTTAATCCAACAACAGTTAGTGGACACTGATAATCACGATTTAGCAATAACTAATGTAAAGTGCTGTTCAGAAATTATAAGCTCTTACATGGCTATCAATTAATTATATCTGATATGTATCCGCGTTTAGCAACATACAACCATATGTTTGTAATTAGCTAGATTACCTCTAATACGTCCGTTTGTATTGGATTAGCGTAACAATTGCGGAATAAGCTTTTAGAATAATTGGGCGTTAATTATTACCAAATAATCTATGCTTCTATGTGTTTGGATTTATTTTTATAAAACTATGTTACTACTTTTTCCTCTTTTGTTTAAACTTAAAAACGATTCCTGATATGAAAGCACTGGGAGCAGTAAAGAATAATTGACTGATTGTTAAACTTGAAAGCCCAAGTTAAATCATTATTATATCCATACAGATTATCTAAAAGAATTTGCCAAATGTTTTTCCCATAACTAAACCATACAATACCAAACCAAACCAAATCACACAAAAATATCATAGTTACTACAAATTTTAGCGTTCTGTACCAATTGTTAGGCTATATGATTATTGGCATCTCTTCATATTAAAATTTGAAAAACAAACTTATAAAAAGTTATTTTAGATTGTGTAGTTTTATTTTATTGTAGTAATTATACCCCAAAATAACTCTTTTGTTCTTTACGGTCGACAACATCAAACCTAATGTTGTTCTTAAAATTTTAAGATTTAAGATTTTGCTCTACTACATCAAGAACAGAATTGTAGCCAATTTAATACTATATTTCATCACTAGGGTGTAAAATGACTCTTTTTGACCCAAGCTCAAGTCAGAAAATGAGTGATGGTTAAAAAAACACTTTTTGCGCATGTGATGTAGAATCATATTTTTGTCATATTGCACCATTATTTGAACAAATTACGTAA